GAGCTTTAAAAGAGAACACGATTGAAACTCGAAATCGGAGTCACGTCAGAATAGGTAAAATTTATGTGCGTGTGAACATACGCAAATCGTTCGTGTTAAAGTGCGTGAAACCCACCAACCACTCAAATTCCCCATGGGCGGCTCACTCGCATTGCTGTATTCGAAAGGTGAGATTGACGCATTCGCATCTTTTGATCACTTTCCCTTGATAAAACTTACGTATCTCGGCGTTCACTAATTCGGTGCGAGAGAACCGATCGAATGTCATTCGTCAAAACATTCATTGTTTCACCAACTTGCTACACTTCACCCGTCTCTCCTCAATGGTCAATTAAACTGTAAATGATCTTTTCTAGTTTGACACCTCTTGTGTCACGAGACTTCACTTATTTAAGTCATATAACAAGAGGTTCGAGTACTGTGTACCACTGGCATGCAATCAGCCCGCGATATATTAAGACAATGTACGCATCGACCTCGTGAAAGTAATGTTTAAATGTAACGCGTAAATTTGTTGTCATTGTGTTCGTGCCATCGATTTTATTTACCACGGCGCCCGTAAGGGTTGGGTCAACAACACCCAGGTAGAAAGTCCTAGAACAAATCCTTACAGATCGTCTCACATTTTCTAAATGTGTACGTATATGGTTATGACGACATCCAACACATTAATTCGTAAGTCTCAAAACCACCATGTTTCAAATAAAATATCGCCCTTTCTGCTGTCACTCAAGGTGAACGAGATTTCTCCGCATGCACGTTCATTGTGATCATCTTCTCGCTAAGTCTCACACAACCATCCCGTAAGATCATTTGTGCGAATCCGTTAGTCACCCCCTACCCTAATTCTGGACGTATTCCATTGGTGATGTGAGTCTGGACAAATGACAAGATCGTTTGGATCCGTAGTTAAGTTATACGATGTTTTTCATTTGGTATCATGTGAATAATGATAAAATTCCAGCGAGTCTTAATATCACTCAGGTGTTGTTTCAAGTTCATGGTCTTTTTTTTTTTTTATTTTTTTTATGTCGTGCCCTATGATCATTGTTACGAACATCCAAGTTCATTACCATTACGTTTTCATTAAAATGTTGGTAAATCCAATTAAACCAGGAAACCAGTAGGAACCCTTGTTACTTGTATAACTAGAACACAATTATCTTTAATAATCATGTAAATGAGATGGGCATCATTGGCGGGGAACATCCATAGCTTACTGAACCATCGGAACTTAATTTGACGAAAATTAAGGGGTTAAAAAAAAAAAAAAAAACCAAGCTGCTGCTATCATAGGCTGGTGAGTTCGGTAAGATGATCGTATACTACCGAGATGAAAATAACAAATAAAAAA